CCCCAAAACCCCAAAACCCCAAAACCCCTAGCAGGGAGTTTCTGTTACAGTAAGCTCATATTTTTATTTTAATAGTATTTAGCAAGTCAATTCTGATATCTTTGATCTCTTCATCTGTAAGATGCTCTTTTACTGCTTATATATGCAAGATTTGTTCTCAACTTGGCCTCATGAGGGGTGAAACTTTAAGTAATGTAATTACCGTAGCCCCAAGGCTCTTGAGAATAAGCTAGAAATTTTCTCATAACTGCTCTTCTTGGCTTTACTTGCTAGCTCCTGCTTTGAAGTAACAGTAAAAGGCAGTCTCAGTCTAATCATTTCACAAATAACTCGCCCTAGAAACCAAGTATCACTTCTGTAATCATAGGGCTCGTCTTGCTATACCTTGGACGATGTGTAGTAAGGTGTTCCCGTCTGAGTATAGACAAGACCCTTCTTAGCGGCTTTGGAGACGCTTAAATCACCTAATTTAACAGTGTATTTTTTATTTACAAACCTTTAGCTTACTTTAACTCTTTATGCTAAATTCTATTTATTATAAATGGCATTGAGCTCTTTGACTATCTATATAAAAGTTTCCCAAATGTCAGCTTCTGAAAATAATTATTTCTTTTTCTTCTGTTCAACAATTTTCTGATACAGATCTTCGTGATCATAAAAATCCATATTTATTCAGAGAGCCGCTGGTGACCATCCCAGAAAGAGTTCCTTGTAGAAGATGATGTTCGAATGTTGAAGATATGTGAAATTCGAATCTCATTAAACCATTTTCTTTCTCCTTCTTAGAGAGTATCCTCAAAAAGACCTTCTTAAGGCATAGATCTGTCCAGCAGATTTAGGCTTGATCTTATACACGTTTGAATAAGCTAATTTCCTAATTATGTCGATAACCCTATAGTTATCCTTCTTATTTTTATGCCTATGCAGTCGGGATTTTCCATTTGAATATTAAAAAATTTCAATAAATCACCCAAAACAAGGGGTTTTGGGGTTTTGGGGTTTTGGGG